TCATTTGATCTGCTCTCTCGAATGATCGCGATTATTCACAGCAAATTCTTTTGCTAACAATTGGGCATGACTCATCAATCGTCTTTGTTCGCTACATTTTATTGCATTACTTTTTTTGATTTCTAATTCTTATAGCAGTCATTACGAGTATTATGTATGCATCCTCAGTTGTTCAGTTTGTTTTCTTTTTGTCACTGTCAATCATTGTTGCGTGGAATCATTCATAAAGTTTTTGTGCCCTTGGAAAATTGATCAACGAAGCCGTTTGGATCACGAATTTTACCTCCCTTCTCTTCACAACTGTTTCGTGATGCATCTTTTCTTTATTTTTTACTTCTACTAGGACATTCACTTGAACCTTCACCTGCCACAAGACGAAATTGGACTAAGAATGCTTCGAAGTACTGGCCTGTATTGTGAATGAGTGGTAGGGGAGCATATACTGCAGGAGGCGCCATTATAAATGTAAGAGTCGCTCTTTAAAGCCTAACTACCTATCTAGATCATTCAGTTCATCGTACGGCCAAAGTCTTTCTTTCAATGCTAAAATCTTAGGGTGAGAGAGGTAATGGTCTCAAAAGCTACATACAAATTGCTGTAGGGATCACATAGGTGTTCAAATGAATTCCTGACTGAGCAGATGTTAGGGATGCGTTCTATGGTCCCCTTCTTCGTACTCTGTTCGGCAGCTTCAGTTATCACTTTTCACAAAGAACTACTAGGGAACTTTTGCGTCCCCCCGCCGAGATTTGTAATAATATGCCGTGCATTGATTGATGTCACTGGCTACATCCGCCACTCGTTGGACATCAGTGTCACCCCGTCACCTCTGGTCACTTTCAAAGAGTTCCTCGTAATTTATAAGCATATTCCGCTGTTCTCATAGTAGTATTCTATAAAGATTGATTACTATCACCGCTTACTGCCAAAAATTGACTCGGCTGGAGAATGGGAACCTTTCAAGTAACCGCTCCAGTCCAACTAGTAGAAAATTTTGAAGCGGAAGCTTGTAGACAGCCAGGTTCACAAACCTGAAGGAATACAAATTTGAGGGAAAGCTTTCTGCAGATGCGTCTATTTTAGTGGTAATCGATAATAACTTGTGATCCTGTGCCCTACTACTGCTTTCACGCAATCCGCCAAAGAAACAAAAGCACACTAAAAGCAACTGTGTAAACACTATCTGAAGGTTTGTTTTACCTCTTCTCAATTTGTTTATGCTATTTTATTATCCTAAAGATCTATTTGAATTATGATTCAATTTATATTTGTGGTGTACAGCTGAGTACCCAACTGTCGACAAGGGCAATTGACCTATTGATCACGACGTTAATGCCTTATGAAATTGTTTAGACTATCCTCCCCTTTTCTAGACCCTACCGCCATCATCAAAGAGAATTGTAGCAATTACAGTATTCCGCCATCGTTCAAAGTTTTCTCCTCACAATGTTATGTTTTCGTTAAGAAATCATCGCTACCATAATATTTAGTATCTTTGTCACTTATCGGAAGGTCTTCGGTTTTTTCGAGAGAGAGATTCTTTTACGATAGCATCGATTTCTTTGCCAAGATAGCAAGGGCGTCTACCGTTTATCTTTTCCTTTTTTGTTCATTAAAAAGTAGACGTTTTACACCTTGAATGCCCTTTTACCCAAAACATGATCCATCCTTCGGGAAATTCAAAATGTTTTAATTTTTCTTGAAAAGTAATCACAACTCAAAATGATTTTATTACTGGCTTGGCAACTAAGTAACTGTGTATATTCAACTAAGTAAAGTCAGTGCACGAAGTTAATTTTCAACATATGTTTTTGAAAAAATATGATAAATTTTTCTTTCACAGAGACAAGTATTCACTCAATCAAATTTTGACCATGAACTACTCGAAACCTGGTCTGTGAATATAATTATTTTCGACCTAGTACACCAAATAGTTATCCTCCAATATAACTGTTTGACGTACTAGGAATTATTACTTAGTTGTCTATATGCTCACTCAGGAGCAGTTACTGTGTTGCCAGCCTAACAAGTACAACACAAATATTCACTCAGTTGTCATTATCAACTAGTTATCGTTATTTATTAATTTATTTATTTATTATTTACAGAAGGGAGGCTTTCGTATTAATTCTTTGACGGGAGGTTTCCAGTGTTTTCAAACTCCTCAGTTGAGTTATCTAGTGGTCTCACTTTTGTTGATGATAACAGTTTTGGCTGTTCTAGCCTGCAGTTTGTGGAAAACAATCGTCTCCGCTTTCCAAATGGTCAAAACACAGATGAAATTGGAATTACGTTTTGATGTTTTACTCCAAAACGGACTGGAGAGAGCCTTAGTCAATTTCACAAATTTTTAGTAGGAGGTAGCCGTTCAGTGATTAGGCTACCTTTACGCCTTATTACATTCCGTGCCTTCTTGTTTACTGACATTTGAAGATGACTGGAGATGGTTTTCTCTTCGCCGAATACGGAAAAAACGCCTTTGAACGTGATTTTCATTAGCACCCAAATCTTTATTAGCAAAGGGTCGGCGCTAGATTCAAAGTGCCCCTTCGAAGGCTTCTCACAGTGGTTGGGATGTTTCAGAAAGTCGAACTCTACGCTGAACTCAGTCATATATAACATAGTTTCAATAGTTTTAAACCGTGGACCATCTATATTTTATATTTTACTTATTTTATAAGTTTTGTAGGTTACACATAATCTAGATGAATGTTTTCTTGTGAAGCAGCTTTTGTAGAATTTTTTCAATTGATCTTTCGTCGTCATCAGAGTTACTTGGTACTGTTTTTTCTTAATGCCACTGCATCTCAAAATCTTCGACCTTGGGTGATGTTATCGCACCTTGTCGAAAGGCGTCTCATAGATGACCCCGACTGTCTACTCTCCCACAGTTTATCTATGATTTTCTTTGCTAACGAGATGTTCTTTTCTAGTGGTGTGTCCCCTGGAAACCAAATGATTTGAGGAGGCTCTCAATAGCTGACAGCTGGTTAACCTTTTTATGTATGTACATATTGTAATCGTGATGACTACCATGCATTCTTTGCAAGAATCCTGCGATTCCCTGCAAAATGCTGCGATTATATTTGCTTGTACTCATGAAAGCTATAAACCTATAATAGGACCAATAAAAATCTTTTAAAGTGCACTATGTGATTATCTAACGGTCTAATGGTCACGCTCTTGCGTGTCTTGCATTCCTGCCACCTCTTTCTGACTTTTTTTTCTCTGCTTTCTAAAGTATAGAATGACGCAATTCCTGCATGCGTCTCTTTTTATTTCTTTGGCTTTCTGAGCTTTTTAGAGATTGAAATGACTTGGATTTAGTTGTGAGTAAATCCTTCACTTTTAAACCTGATTGCCCTTCTTCCTTAGATTCGACAGTGACCTATTCAGTTCATATATCCGTAATGGATCGCCTTTTTTCTACAGGTAACTCTTTCGAGTGCTTATCGATTGGGTTTTTACCATCTTCATTTCAGAAGTTGGGAGCTCAAGGCTCAAGTGAGCTTGGTCTTCTAGTTTTTATCATCCAGCAGTAGTGAATTTTGCCTAGTTTTATTCGTATTAGCTCTGCTCTTCATTAAACTAGTAAATATTATTTTACATCCGTCCACTATTTTCGGATTTCTTGTCAGATTCTACTTTGGAAATGGCAACTCTTGTTTATTTTTTGATTCCTAAGGCCTATGACCTATAATCGGGCATTCGATGCTTGTTTCTTCACGTGATCTAACTACCTGATACGTCGTTTTGCACTTGTCTTTATTTATTTTATTTATTTCACATTTCATTTCCTATTCTTTCTTAGTTATTTTTTATTTCATTTTGTTTATTTATAATCCTGTAAACTTCATATGGATGGTGGTTTTATTCATCAACTAATCTTTCGTCTCCAATCTTTGGTTCGACTAGCGATTGTGGTCTCCGGAGTAGCCACTGATTAGGTGTTATCACAGTTCAGCCAATTCCACTTAATGAACAGTATTCAAAAACTAAAGCACAGATTACTGCGAGGGTGTATAAGGCAGAGTAAAGTGAATTTTAGAATTTTTATGACTTTGATTGGTAAAAATACTATAAATGCCAATATATGTGAATGTTTTTAAGACGGGCAATAAGATTACTTTATGTGGTAGTCGACTTCTTTTCTCAGAAATATGCTTTGTGACTCAGAATTGAGCATGTGCAAGATATGAATTTTGAAGCAAAAATATGACTGAAATGCTACAAATAATGCTCTTATCTCTTTCATTGTGGGCAGGGGTAGTGTAGTGACAAGTGGTGCACCATCGCGCACATATGGCACAGGGACCAAGTCCAGGTCGATATTCGCCCAGTCCAACACTTGGAGTCGGTTAACTGGATTTAGGCTCATCTGGGAGTTTAAGAGCACTAATTTGTACATCGGCTTGACACCGCAAGTCATTGCTACGCTTGCTATACACGCATTCAATACGCCTCTGTGGTTTTGAATGGGAGTCGAATGCGGGCGCTTCCTACAAATGGATTGGATTAACACCAAAGACATCACTACGATTATTATCCTCTTTTACACTGGAATTTGAAAATCCTTGGGGTTATCATCACATACATCTTAATTAGAGGGTTCAGAAAATAATATTCGCTGTATTAGGTGCTGTATATTTTTTAAAGCTGAAGTCACGCTTGTGACTGATCTTGGGCACATATTCAAGCTCCATGAAACAACTCAACAGATTGGTTTATACTTTTCGGCGTTTGTGAGCAGCGTGCAAGAGCCATTGTGGACGTTAAGTCCTTCTTTCGCATGGGTGTCCTATTGATGAACCCAAGAGACTATCTTTCTTTTGGGTTTATACCCTACCTGCAGCGAAGAGGTTTCCGAATAGAATTACACTTGTTTTAGTGAGTTCGGCTCACCGATGGTGAATTTCCTACCATTCTCTTCTCGGTATTATTCTGATCTGGCAATCAGATTAGTACGTATCTCACCACCTGATCTCCGTTTTGCAGACATATTGATGGCATAGGATATCTGCAAGAGAATCAATAAACATTCATGACACTGCACCGGATGCGTCTGATCTGGTATGAGCTCGAAATCATGAGATCTCAAATTAATCATATACTTCCTTTGTGGAGGTGGAGCATGTGGTAGTCTTTTGCCTTTTTTCTACCTTATTCCTTCTTTTTTTCTAATAGCTCTCATGAAGGCTTCTGAGCGGGTGTGGTGCGTTAGGAACGAAATGGTCGCGTCGCGGTGGGAGGGGCGTCGCGCGCGAAGGAATGTAGCAGGATGCAGCAGACGGTAAAAAATACAAGAACAAAAGTACTAATAGTAGATCATAATAGCATAAAATAATGATCGCATATCGGTTGAGCTGTATGAAGAACGCTAGAGCTGTAATAAAGTGGTCCGCGACAGCCGCGTGCGGCAAATCGATTACCCAAAATCGTTCCTAACGCCCGTCTCCCCTTATGAGCAGTTCTATTTTTTCTTTGTTTTGGACCTGTCATTCCTCCTGCTTTCAAATTGAAGAAAAAACCAGAAAAAAATTTCTTGGGAAAGAATTGAGTGGAACTTCAGCTTGAAATTTGTTGGAATGTGAGGAATGTTTGATTTTTTTCGCAACAAAAAGTACGTCATTATTTGTTTTAGTGGCAATGATAGTGTCTTTTTCTTTCGTTCTATAACCTGTACACTGTTCACTCTTAGCTGAAAGTTCTTTTGTTCCGAGAATATTGTAAACAGTTGAGAGAAATTGATAATCCCTGCCCCCGCCCTATCCGGCTACGACCGTCTGTCAACATTCTTTATTTAACTGGTTCCAATTGTTCACCTATCTCTTTGCGACGACGTCATCATAGTTGAACTTCGCATGTGATCGGCGCTACGCCAAAAATCTTATTTACTGGAAAATGAGTGTGTACCTTGAATCTTTTGATAATCGTTCACCTCCTCTTGTAGTTCTTTTATTTATTTTTTTTCGATTTGTGATTCAGTGCTCAGCTGAGCTCACTTTCATGACGAACTTCAGCACGGCTTTTTCATTTTATTCCACTTCCATATCTAAAACTTCGCTATTTTCCAGGATGACCATCGGATTTCACATTAATTTTAGCATCTTTGTCTTCTACTTGACGTTTTGGACTTTTGAGATGACAACATTTTGATTGACCCGCATTCACTTGTTTTCTTTCCATCATCGCTTTCAGTGCTGTGCTATATCGTACTTTTTTGCAAGATTTTACTTTATTTCCTTGCTTTTATTGGAGTCGGAAGAGCGGGGGTGGTATAGTGGCAGGTGGAATGGACAGGTCACGCTATCACTTAGGTACTATCCGGAGATCGAATTCCGAATCGATATCCGCCCAGATCTATCGAGTGTTCCATCCCTCTGTGATCGTAACTTAATACCAGACTCGCTTGGGAGGATAAAATCGCTGACTTGTCATCGACTGCCCTTCGCAGGTCATTGTATAGGTGGAACAGTAACTTGGGGCTCTTGTTTAGGTCATAGACCCATTCAAAGTGCGACTACGATTCCGAATGGGAGTCGATTGTAGAGCACATGCCGGATTGGGAGTTGGCACACTGCTTCGCTTTTAATTCGCAACGCTAAATCGATATTTTTTTACAAGTACAAAAAGTAAGTGTTGGATTTGCGCTGAGATGCCGCTAAGGCCACCCTGACGCTGTGCAGTTCTATCTTACCATTAGAGCTGTTCATATTGATGCATCAAAGGAGCAAATAACTTGCATTTTTATGTTTGCAAGTCCAACATTCTCTCGAGAGGGTAGTGAATATCTGGAATGAGGCAATTGTGTTTGGCATAGCAACAAATTATCACACAATAATTCAAAATCTTCCCTTAAAAGAAAGGGCCACAATTCTCCTCGAACTTTTTTGTCTTTCTTCGAACCTTTACCCCTCTTATCGACTCTCTGGAAACGGTCTTTATCTCAAGTTTTACGGCCAGTAAAGGTGAAAGAAGTAGGTAGGGAGAGTCAGAGGCATCACTAGAGTGCACGTTGTTACATTCATTTGCTTATTCTGGCCCATTGATTCTTACACTATTTATCGCCTTGAGGCTACTGTAACTTCTATAGTAACTTTTTGTTAATAAGTGAGGAAACATGGAAACATGGCTTATAGACAGCAGTTGAGTCCTGCTTCTTATAGACAGCAGTTGAGTCCTGCTTATCTCGAAATCTCATCCTGACCATGACTGTCTCCTGTTCTACTTCATTGCCCCCATCGCGTTAATCCTTTTGTGGGTAGTATTGGCCGAGCTGGAAAAGCTCTTCAGCTATAGTAGCGTTTACAGTTAGCGATCTGGACGACCGGAATGACCTTGTCTGGGTGATTGTCCTCCATACTATCAGCTGCAGAGGTGGAAGCGGTGATGGAAGCGCAATGGATGAAGTTATGTAATGAAGTGAGTAGCTGGACTCATCTGCCAAATGGGCTGTAGCTGGTAGTTGACGATCGAGCCCTTTTTCGGCCAGATCATTGATTTGAAGGCTGGCATGTCGCCAAGTTATCAAATACTTATCCCTATCATTCTATCAGCTCATTAGTTGGTGGTGAACACCTCTCAATACAAGCCTAGTGTGGAAGGAGGTTCACTTGTTCTATTGGTCTGCTGGAAATCGGCTGACGTAGCTCTCGTACACTAACCGTAATGGCAACCGCGAGGACACTCATCGTTCCAAACGATCTGCAATCACCCGTGCAACGGCAGATGGTCATACGCAATGTGACGAAGTACGATTGGGTGATCAAGGTCAAATCGGATGTTCCTCAAGCTATTCGGTTTGAAACCGACAAAGCCGTCGTCGATTCAAGAAAGTACGTTGTTCTCAAGACGGCGTTGAGCCTGAAAGACCTTCCCCAGCAACAAACTGCACCGAAAATCTACGTTTTCGCCAGACCGCTGTTCAATTACAACGAGAACTGTGTTCGTGTTTGGATACAGAGAGAGCGTAATGAGCTGGCTTGCCAATTGGCCTACGTGGTTCATCTATTGGTCAATGACAAAGTGTTTTCGGCGGAGAAGCTCGTTCTGGACTTGCCCGGCCAAGCTTCAGCCATCGACGCGGTGCCGTTTGCTATAGAGGAGGATCTGGACAGCCGTTGTGAAACAGCGTTGAACATCGACGAAGACACGAACACCGCCAACCAAGTCGAAGAGAAACTGCTCGAACATGCAAGATCTGTAGCGAAACCGTGGGTTCATCATGGCTTTTCATAGGGTTACGCATCGTCCTCCACCTGCCGAGGTTGTTGATAGGCTAGTTAGGGTGTACCTTATCAGCTTGACTTAGTGATAAGAGCCGGGGAGGTTGGTTTGTACCTACTCGAGCCTTATCATTACCAAGCTCCCAGTCCGCTTACGTTTGATTAGGATATTGCCTTTTTTTCGCGACAAACGATTGACATGAATGACAATCCTCATCCTCGAAATTCTCTTAGTTCTGATTTCAACCGTCTTTCAGAGAACCTATCAGTCAGACTAGTACCGTATCGGGGAGCGGTAGAATGGCGCCAGAGCAATATAAGGATCTCATGACCAAAGTGAACGCCTGGTTGGCAGCCGACAAGGTGAGTACTTCCGGCAAGAAATACGTGAAAAGTGAATGAGGGTGATGGGAGAGGTTCTTGGAACCTGAACCAGCCGCTTCAAGTCAGTCCAATCAACGCATAGTTATATATCAGTTCATAGATAGCGGTGATTGTAGCTGATTCTCTCTGCTTAAACTCATTTTCTGGTGGAATTCTGTGAAGTTATTCGACCTGTCTGTTCTTCAGAGAGCGGTGTAATGTTGTCGCTCTAGAAAAAAACATTGAAGTGAAACTGGAAAGAGGATTGTAGGAGGCAAGGCAAATGTATTAGTAAAGTGGCGAACAAAAGGTCGTATGTGCGAAGTAAAGGGTAAGGAAAGAAGTGAATACCCTCCGAGGTATGAAAAGATTCAGAAGGGAAGGAGAATAAAAAGGGTAAGCTCAATCACTTAGACTTAGTTCCCCCTATAGCATATCGGGCCAAGAATCTCTTCCGCTGCAGTACGCAACTGCTCCTTTCCCCCCTGAAAACATTCATGACTTTGTCAAATTTCATCTACACGTGTTTCTGGAACGGCCTCAAAGGGACTAAGCAGGGGCATAACTGGCTCCCATTCCCTTATAAGGAAAATGGTGGTGGTTACAGTAATCTGTGAGGCTGTACTCATACCTTGTTGAGCAGGCCGTATGACACCCCAAACAGGTATTGGTCCGGGACTAGATGGAGTAGATGGAGTAAATGATCAGAGGAAGAATATTCACGGTAATAGCTGAACTCGACCGATGTAGGGTGGGCTTCACGTAATGCGAAGAGATCATCAGACAGGTAGTGAGGCTTCCAAACTGAACAGCAAAGGGAGTAGTAAGGCAAGAAGAAGAGAGAGAGAGAAAGAGAAAGAGAAAGGGAGAGAGAGAGAAAGAGAAAGAGAGAGAGAGAAAGAGCAAGAGAGTAGTTAAGGAAGGGAGATGGAATGGAAAGGTTTTTGCACTCCAAAGGACAGCCTGTCTTCAAAATTTGAACAACTCTGTTACAGTGCAAGAGAACAAACGATGAAATCGCAGCGCTGGCCAAAGCACAGGATTTCGATGCTCTAGCCGCTCGAATGTATGGAAGACTTAAGTTCGGTACAGCAGGTGAGCGCCCTTTATCATCGTCCGTTATCCTTTATGGGTTACTACGAAAGAAATCGAGTATAATTAAGGCATTCGTGCTCGTATGGAAGGAGGATTTGCTCGTTTGAACGAAATGACGATCCTCATTATTACACATGGATTTGCAAAGTATCTGCTCAATGTATTCCAAGGCCAACAACTTACTGGAGTAGCGATTGGCTATGATGCCAGACACAACAGCAGACGGTATGTGAGAATTGTTTTTGCGGATGATCAGGTCTATTATTAGGAATTCACTCAATATAATCCCATGGTTCTGAAAATCTGGATGGAAATGACATGCATGTCGCAATCCCGAGGGAAACCATCCTGCACTGAGCGCATAATGAGCCAAAGAGGCGCTTCCCATCGGAATTTTGCGTGACTCAACAAACCTCTTCCCTTTTGCGTTATCCCGTATCGTTACTGGTCACCTGCCTTTATCAGAGTTCCTCTTCAAGTTGCTTCCGCTTTGATCACAAGTTGTGGAGGTCCTTGATTAAGTCCCTACACTTTCCTCTAGGAATCCACGAGTTCTTTCGTTATGGGACTTGAAGTCCCGTGCCTCTTTTATGGGATAATTTTTTCGTGCTCTCTCTCCCCGTACTTAGCATCGCTGATTAAGTTTTCAGCAGCCCACGAGGGAATTTGTATGGGCCATCGTTGGTCCTCATTTCTGACCCTGTCCACTCCCAGGCCCATCTGAGCATGACCGACCGGTACCGCCCAAGTTTTCTTACTGTAATTTTTGATTTGTTTAGATTCGCTGTACTTGCCGCTAATGTCTTCCTTCGTAATGGCATTCCCGTCCATTTCTTCAGTGAAGAGTGTCCAACGCCAGTTGTTGTAAGTTTATAAATATTTCAGTAATCCTTTTACGTAATTATTTATTTTAAATGCATTGTTGGATTTTATTTTTGCATTCTTTTTTTTTTTGAACTGCTTACTTGCATAGATTCAATGTATTTAAATATTCCTAATGACAGTCATGGGCAACTGTGAAGCTGAACTGCAACGCTGGGCTGATTATCACAGCATCGCATAACCCGAAAGAGGATAATGGCTACAAAGCCTATTGGAACAATGGAGCACAGGTGATTTTCCAGTTCCTCTTGGGTTTACTATTATATTCGATTGGATAAGGTGATTGTAAGATTTCAGATAATCGATCCTCATGACACAGAAATCATGAAATTAGCCGAAGCAGCACCGTTCCCGTTACCAAATGAATATTGGGATACAGCTGATATGATGAAAAATCCACTGTTCAGATCTGCAGACACTGTGATTGATCCGTACTTCGAAATCGAAAAGAAGTCCTTGAACTTCTACAGGTAACTTTTTTTCGTAAGAGTTCCTATTTAATTAGGTTCTTTTTGTTTACATTTCTGTTTTTTAAACGAACCCGTAACACTTTTTCTTTTTCGTCGTCCTATAGTGTGGCTCTATTCATTTCTTTACTTCGATTCCATTAAAGTTCCTTTCGAAATCTACTTGATTGTCTTGATTATTCCTACATTTTCCAGGCAAATAAATGCGTCAACGCCGCTGAAGTTCACATACTCAGCGTTCCATGGTGTGGGTCATCGTTATGCAAAACGTATGTTCAGTGAATTTGGTTTCAAGGATGATCACTTCATCTCTGTTCCGGTTCGTTATTATTCTCTATAGACCCAGAAAATATAAATTTGAATAGCCGTTTTTTCAAGGAACAACAAGAACCCAATCCAGATTTCCCAACGGTTCCATTCCCGAATCCCGAGGAAGGTGCCAGTGTGAGTTTTTTTTGTTCGTGTAGAAATGTTACTGTTGGCGTTTTTATGGATATGTCGCCAACCTTTTATCATATGTTTTGTTATTTTCTTCATTTATCTGTATCTTGTCCGTTTTCCTTCAGAAGAGGCCATTTCACGTCTAGCGATTCTATTACACTTACGATTTTGTGGATACCTATTTATAGGTTCTTGCGTTGTCATTCAAAACGGCCGATGCCAATGGTTCAACAGTCGTGATCGCGAATGATCCTGACGCTGACAGGGTTCAATTGGCTGAGAAAAATGCAAGGTGTTTTTTTTTCTAAAAATTTTTTTTCCAAATTTTTCACAGAAGCTGCCCAGCACTCACACATTTTGTCCCTCTTTCTCTTGAGCTTTTTTAAAATTAACTCAAGCATAAACCAAGCTTGTGGATTCAGCGATTGCTTTTTTTATAGTGAATGATTCGTGCTGAATGTAATCTAATCCTTCTCATGATAGGTAAAACATGCAGGTATGGTACGGTAAACATGGATCCAAGTCATTTAAATTGTATAGTAGGCATGCATCGACTCAAATTTGGTAGTACATTTATCAGATATTAAAAATCGGGTATTTGTCAGAAATTTTAATGAACTCGCCTGCCTTTACAATCCATCCCCTACTTGGGCCACTGCCTCTCTTGCTTCCACTTTTTTCTTCCATGAAAAGTGCTACACTGCGTGCTATTTTTCGCTGTACTGCACATATCTGTCAGTCCCCGAAGTACCGTACCTTTACTGTAATTATCGTCCCCGAAGCTTCAATGTTGTACTCGAACGATTCTAAGTATTACGAATTCTGAACTATTAGAACTACCAAATTCCCATGCTTCATTAGGTCATCATTATATTGTACTTTGACCGCTTATATATGAACAATGTTTTCTTTTAAGTGGCGGTTGGAGAGTATTCACTGGAAATGAAATGGGAGCACTGCTCTCGTGGTGGATTTGGGTGAACTGGTCTCAGGTTGGTTGTGCTCCTTACAATCTTCCCTCTCTTTTTCATAGTCCCTATTGTTTTACTTATTTTTATTAATTTTGCCTTTTCCCTTTCCGTTCGTATTTCCCTTTTCTTTCTTTTGTCTCATTTTTTTTAACCGAGTCAAAGCCTATCAACAGTATTTATGCGTTCAGATTCATTCGAATGTACCGAAATCGGACATTTATATTCTCAACAGTGCTGTGTCTTCCCAAATGATTAGAACAATTGCTGAAAAGGAAGGTAGGCTTTTTAATTCTCAGATCAACTCACATGATGATGTTCTTTGATAAATATTTGATATCGACTTGAATTTTGATTTATTTTAAGGATTCAAAAGTGATGTGACATTGACCGGATTCAAATGGATGGGAAATAAAGCGGATGAGTTGCGTAAAAAGGGCAAACACGTGATCCTGGCTTGGGAAGAGAGTATCGGATTTATGCCTGGTCACACGATGGACAAGGTGAACACTGCCTTTTTTNTTTTTTCCATTATGATGATTCCATTCCCTATCGAAAAAGAGTTTTTGAAATTTTAGAATTGGAAAAGCCTAATTTTGAAGTCGAAGTTTCTCTTCAAGGAGTTATGTTGTGGGAGGGCACCTTGGGGATCTCGGCGACAGAACATCTGAGGGAACGGATGAGGGTACTGTAAGGGGTCTTTGATTTACCTTCCTTTCCATTCAGGGCTATTAGTATAAGGAGAACCTTCCTTTGTGTCCCTAATATGCACGTTCCTGGTTGTTCCTAATGAGGAAAGGAGGGAAGCCCCTCCTAATTCTAGTAGACTTTCCAAAAGTCTTGGGTGAAGTTGTGTTCATAGCAACTCATGTGCTTGAATTAGATCCCAATGTGTTCAATTTGTACGACATTTAAGTTTAATTGCAAGGAATACGGTATGTATCGATCGATATGTCTATGGTTTAGTTTATGCTGGACAAGGTGAGTTGGGCTGCGTGATGGGTGCTGTATTGTCGAAGTGTCTTTGCTGTAGCCTCTGGGCACAGGAGCTGTGTCTTACTGTGTTTCATCTTTGTGTTGCGTGCTGCATAGATTAGAGCATGATGGCCTTTGCAACTGTCGAAGGGTCCTGCGCAGAAGAGCTACAAGTGATTGTGAAGGGCTTTTCGACAGGGCGATTGAGAGCTTTTGAGAGTTTGTCCTGGCAGCGTTTGAAAGTATCTATAACAGGATGGACTGAGCTCAGCTGCAATGTTTGCTGAAATGGCTGCATGGCTACAAACCCAGAAGCAAACACTACAAGATAGACTCTTCTTCTTATATTTCAAGTGAGTTTCGAGAATTTATTTCTCTTTAGAGACGAGAAAACTGTATTTCTGCCTGAAAACTCGAGATCCAGTTTATTAGATTGTCGATGGTATTTGGGTCGATGGCTTCAGTGGTGACAGTTGACCCTCCATATCTGGTAGTGCCTAATGTGTCATGGATGGATACGAAGTCTGATCGGGTTTGGCAAGATTAAATTCAGGACTTGCATCTTGAAATGAGAGTTTTCTTAAGGGGGAGGGGGGGGGGGGGGATAGTTTTCACAGAGGAGAATTTTAACGCTATCAGTTCTCTATGGAGTAGTGCCAGGTGACGCCAGTAATGACGCGTCCGCATGGTCCGGAAGTAGAGAACTCAGACTGAAACCTGCTCAGGCCAACATATCAACCCATTCTCTCTGGGTGATCATGCTAAACCTCTTCTTCATGCTTCCAAAGCAGTTCTTAGGACTATACTTGGGTATCCCATGAGACACCGATCACGCTCATCATTCCAAAAACTTTTTCCCCTCCTATAGCTAAAGGTTAACGTCCCTTTGATCCTACACCATTCCAGATATGGTTACCATCTCGTTCGTTCGACGTATTGGTTCACTCCAAGTCCTGATGTAACTGCCAGCTTGTTCAACTCGCTACGAAATAATTTGAAGGTAGGTGTATGCAAGCAGGAAAAGTGGAGCGTCCGTAGAAGACTTGAACAATGGGTAAATTCTCTTGTGAGCTGCCATCGATGTCATTTCGCTGGCCGCTCTTCTTAATTCCGCTGTTTTCAAGGATATTTTCTTTCCCACGCAGCAGATTCTGGGAATTTCTCCACAAGTTCAGTTTATCCTCAGGTCCCCATTAATCAACTCAATGCAACTAGTCTTCTGTTTGTCAGAGTTCATCAGGTAAACCTCCCATTTACTGAAGCAGAGTACGGCTCGGGATCGAGCCGTTGCCAAAAATTGGCAGGGAAGCGTCAGAGAGTGCCCACCAGTCCTTGTGGGCCCTGCGAGTTGCTGGCCTAGAGTCATAACTTACGTTTCGTCGTTCTTTCGAAGGTGAAGCTAAGTTAACTACTAGACCGTCAACTCACACTCCTCACCGCTCCCTGGGAGGGGTGAACGATGAAGTGGTGTGTCGTCCAAAGAGACCACCTCGCCAGTGCGTCGTAGACTTAACGGGGACGTCCCAAGCAAACATCTCTCAGCTGTAAACGACAGCTTTTTGCTCTATCGAATCTCCCTTCTCTCTAGCCCACGGGCACGCCAAACACGTTCCTGTTTTGTTGTTTTGCTGAGCAGAGCGCAGGTGCCGATTTGTAATCGATTCACAAGTTCGGTTCCGCGGAAGTGATGCCTGTGCATAGAGAGGAGCGAGAAACCATGTGAGGAACAAAGGCCTATTCTCGAAGGCTGAGGATTGGAATGAGGGCTTATCAGTTCCTTCAGGATAGGCCATGTATATGACTTCTACTGAGCGCATTGAGCCTATATCTGTGCCTATGTGGTGAATAACGCGATCCATTTAATGTTTACGTTAATGTTTACATCCGTGCGAGTCAGTTTACGGCCATTATACCTGCCCAGGAGATTTGTAGGACTTGTTTGACTCTGACTGGATAGAAAATCGCTCATGAGGAGGGAAGCCCTTTCTGTCCCAGTTTTGCCCTTGGAAATCTCATATAAATATGAATAAACAAAATTAACAAATAAACATAAATATATGGCGACATGACGCTTCGAAGAGTTAGCCAACACGGTCGACTTATTAGCGAAAAACAATTTCTCCCAGCTCTTACACCCACTGAACTCAAGTTTTTGGATGCGCCGCGCATTCGATTTCTGACAAAAATCGTAGTGTGTCTCTTAAGAGATGGCCGTTGTACTGTGCTCGCCTTCTCATCCTGTGGACTCTCTTTCTTAACAGTTCTCTGGTGAAGAGTTACAGTAATTTCAGTACCCCGAAACGATTGGACCACACAAGGTGAAGAGTGTGAGAGATCTTACAACCGGATACGATAACTCTCAACCGGATAACAAGGCCGTACGTTTTGAACTAATTGGTAAAGGCCATTTTTGATCCGATCGCTTAATCTGAGGTACTTAGGTGCTGCCAATATCAACGACTTCCGAGATGATCACTTTCACTCTGGAGAATGGAAGTGTCGCTACGCTCCGTGCATCAGGCACTGAACCGAAAATCAAGTACTACATCGAACTGAAGACAGCTCCTGGCAAGAAAGAAAGGTACGGTAGTCATTTGAGCTAACGGTGTAGTTATGGATCGAATATGNGAGAATGCTGTGGTTGAAACCCTACTTCGACCGCAACAATTCGGTCTTGTCCCCCGTAAATAGACGATGACTAAACCGTTTATCCCATATATTGTAGCGGTAGAACTAACGTTCGTTTTGACCATGACTTGATTTTTCGTTTGTGATTGGAACCATTGATTCGATCGATTCTCTCATCGACCACTAACCGATCTGTGATCTTCCTTGGTAATTCCCTTTAACGCTACGACTATAAACGGTTAGAGCATGTGTGTGTGTGTTTTATCGTCAGTGCCTCTCTCTCTCCCTCTCCATAAATGATGAATGGCAAATGGGCTCTTACTCCTTATCCTCTCAATGGGTTCCAACGTTGTATGTTTTCATTGCCAACATCGATATCTTCCTTGGAATGACGTGGATGGGTTTTAATAAACTGTATTGATGGTCAACAAATTTGTCAGTAAACCGTAGTGACGGTCAGAATATCTGTGATATTTCAGCGTTCCAAAAAAATGGCGGGAGACAGGGCGGGAAACGGGCGGTTGAATCGGGTGGTGTGGGTTCGCCGCACGCGGCAATCGCGGACTAGTTGCCTCGTCCTTGCAGTTCTAGCGTTCTTTGTACAGGATAATCGATATGTGATTGTCATTTTCGGCATAATTCTACTGTAACTTCATTTGTTCCTGTGTTCCTTACTTGTTGCGCGGCATCTGCTTCATCCCGTTACATTCCTTCGTGCGCGACGTCGCTTTTGTCGCGAAGCGACCATTTCGATTCAACTGTACCACATCCGTAGGTTCGAGTGCAGATTCGGTAACTATACAAGTTACCTAATACGATCGAGTAAAAAAATTAGAATCGTGAGAGTTTCGTGAAATGTCATTCGAGACATCCAGCGACATTCTGGCGACTAATGGACGATGAATTTGAGCGGGATATAAAACCGGAGAGAATCTCGTTCGTACACTAATCTTACGATAAAACACTGGATACGTAATTTCACAGACAAAATTTTGTTTTCTCGGCGTAGGCCTATCTGAATATCCAAACCCTCGCACCCTCACATACTTATGGAAGGCATCCGTAAACGGGGCGGTTGGGTAGCGAGCGGATGGCATTTCCCGATGGCCACTTGCTGAAGTCAGAAGCCATAGCTGGATTCAGTGCGATTTACAGTTACCGAACAGTTGAATTTATATTTTCGTTTTAATAACAGTATAAGTACTTCAATCGACCAGGCCCGACTAGAGGTCCACCAACTGTATTGATTAGAATTAACTTTATTTTAAATCTTTTTAAAAAATAAAACCAGTTACCAAGATGTTAAATAGCTCCTTATCAATTTACGCTTCGGCGTTATCGCCTTCTCCAGAGTCGGAAACTTAACGATAATCTAGAGAAAGATGTATTGATTAGTCTTCAGAAGTCAATGTATACCCATGAAAGGATAATGGATGAGGTCTTTGACTCCAATAAATCCAGTTTTTGGGATGCGCCCTGCATTCGACTTTTATTCACAATCGTAATTCCGGTTGTAAATGGGTGTGCAGCCTATGCTATTACTTGTGTGGTCAGCCGATTTGCAAGCTGATGCTTCTATCCTTCCCGCTTATTTTGATACAGCTAACCAAACCCAGTGGGATGGAAGGAATGGTTAGCCCAGGGAAGTACCGATCCGAGCGCTATGCGTTATGATAGTGCGCAACTTGCCACTATACCACCTACGCCTTAGTCAAACCCGTCGTTATTTGTAGCAACCTAAAAGAGTTGCTAGACGCCGGGTAGTGTCAGGTTCTGTTGGCCAGTTCAGGGCTCATCTTTCGCCTTTCACCTTCGGACTGTGATGCCTTGCTCCAAGGTGAACACATAATCGCTTACCAGGTGCTTTAAGGCCAATTGCTTGGCAAAAGTTTCAATGGGTTCAGCAACGGAATGGCCAAATTTGGAGTGGTTAAGAAGCATTGGTTGAA